AAGGAGGAGGAGGAGGAGGAGGAGAGGAGGAGGAAGACTCGTAGGAGGAGGAGGAGTTAGAGGAGGAGGAGGAGGAGGAGGAGGAGGTGAGGAGAGATTGAGGAGGAGGAGGGTGAGGAGGAGGAGGAGGAGGAGGAGGCAGGAGGAGGAGGAGGAGGAGGACGGAGGAGGAGGAAGAGGAGGAGGAGGAGAAGGAGGGGGAAAAGGGAGGAGGAGGAGGAGGAGGAGGAGGAGGAGGAGGAGAGGAGGAGGAGGGGGAGGAAGGAAGGGGGAGGAGGGGGAAGAGGAGGAGGAAAGGAGGAGGAGGAGGAGGAGGAGGAGGAGGAGGAGGAGGAGGAGGAGGATGAGGAGGAGGACGACGACACCATGGAAGAGGAGCAGGAGCAGCAGCAAAAGGAGCAGCATAGGCGGAGGCGGAGGAGAAGAAGGCTCGCCCAGCCGCCCACCGCGTCGAGTCTGGGCATACGGGGGGAGGGGGTCCGTGTCCTCCGCCGCCGCCGCAGCAGGCGCCTCCGCCGCGCCTGGCCGGGAGCAGCACGGGGGCGCGGCGCTCCCTGTCCAGATGCTGCTGCTGCTGCTGCTCCTCCTCACGAGTCCTCCTCCTCCTTTTCCTCCTCTTTTCCCCCCCCCTCTCCTTCTTGCTTTTCCTCCTCTCCTCATCTTCCTTTTCTTTCTCCTCCTCTCCTTCCCTCCTGTTTCCTCCTCTTCCTCCTCCTCTTTCCTCCTCCTTTTCCTCCTCCCCTTTTCCTTCCTCCTCCTCCCTCCTCCCCCTTCTACTCTCCGTCCTCCGCCCCCTCCCTCCTCCTCCTCCTCCCTCCTCCTCCTTTTCTCCCCTCCTTCCTCCTCCTCTCCTGCCTCCCTCCCCTCCTCCCCTCCTCCTCCTCCTCCCTCTCCCCCTCCCCTCTTCCTTTGCTCCTCCGCTATCTACTCCTACCTCCTCCTCTCCTCCTCCTCCGCCCTCCGCTCTCTCCCCCTCCTCCCCTGAAGCAAGCAGAGTTGGCATGAACTCGGAGCCGCCGCCGGTCCTGGGGACCGTCAAAAGACGGCTCAGGATGAAGAGCTGGTGTCCAGAAAGAGGTCCAGGCCTATGGGGAGCCACGCTGCGACCAACATCACGACGTCGGATGTCTGTGCCCCTCCCCCCCCAGGTCTGGGCGCCGTGACAAGAGCTGGCGACGGCGAGGCTTTCGACGTCTTCGGCGTCGTGGAGGCCGCGCCCCGGCCCCGGGGCAGTTGGACAACGACTCGAGCTGAAAAGCCAGCCCCGGGGGCGGAGAAGGGAGGGGGAGGGAGAGGAGGAGGAGGGAGGATGGGTGGGGAGGGAGAGAACGAGGGCGAGGAGGATGAGGAGGCAGAGGAGGAGGAGGAGGAGGAGGAGGAGGATGAGGAGGAGAGGAGGAGGAGAGGAGGAGGAGGAGGAGGAGGAGGAGGAGGAGGAGGAGGAGGAGGAGGAGAAGGAGGAGGAGGAGGAGGGAGGGAGGGAGGAGGAGGGGGGGAGGGGAGGAGGAGGTGGAGGGAGGAGGGTCGAGACCCCCAGGGGGCCGACGCCACGAAACAACAACTGCGACGCCAGGGGTAAGGGAGGGCGCGGCGGCCCGAAAAGCTCCCCTGGGCCGCAGTGGAAGGAAAGGCCCGCCCCCGCTGATGGGGGGAGAGTGCAAGGTTTCCCCTGGGGCCGTAGGCGACCCGAGGAGGAGAAGGAGGAGGAGGAGGAGGAGGAGGAGGAGGAAGGAGGAGGATGAGGAGGAAGGAGGAGGAGGAGGAGGAGGAGGAGGAGGAGGAGGAGGAGGAGGAGGAGGAGGATGAGGAGAGGAGGAGAGGAGGAGGAGGAGGAGGAGGAGGAGGAGGAGGAGATGGAGGAGGAGATGGAGGAGGAGACGGAGAAGGAGTGGAGGAGGAGGAGGAGGACGGAGGAGGAGGAGGAGGAGGAGGGAGGAGGAGGAGATGGAGGAGGATATGGAGGAGGAGACGGAGAAGGAGGAGGAGGAGGAGGAGGAGGAGGAGGAGGAGGAGGAGGAGGAGGAGGAGGAGGAGATGGAGGACGAGGAGGAGGAGGAGGAGGAGGAGGAGGAGGAGGAGGAGAAGGATGACCAGTGGAAACCCAAGAGTCACCAACGAGGTTGGAATAAACCTTCCCCCCAAGCTCCTTCTTCACAGGCCCCTGCAGCGGTTCCTCTCCACAGGGGGACCCGCCTCGTCGGCAGACCACCGTTAGAGGACCCCGAAGCATGCCGAGACGTTACTCTCGGCACTCCGACGCCGGGAGCAGCAGAAGTCCAGGGCCCGCCTCCCTCGGGGGCCCGCTTCCTGCACACGCCGGCAGGCCGCAGCTGCCGACTGCGCGGTGTCGCTCTTGCCCGGCGGCTTGCCTCCACGACGTGCGGGCCCAAGCGTGGGCAGCAAAGCGCCGAGAAGTATTTGGGACACCGGCAGGCGGAGCGCGGGGAGGGGTCCCGCCCGCAAGCGGAGCGAAGGAACAGTGTCCAGCAGCTCGGGGCCGCCTCAACGGCACGGGCAGCCATTGAGGCGGGGAGTGGCCGCTGCGCCTAGGTCTTGAAGCCGAACTGCTTGAAATAGAAGCCCTTCTCCGTCGCGGCTCGCGCCGTGGAACGGCCGGTGGAGCCCATGGGGGGGTCGGGCCCCGAGATCTTCCCTCCGATTGGCGGCGCGCACCAGGGGGGTAATGGAAGGGGGGAAAGGCTTCTCAGAAGCAAACTGCTTCTTAGAAGGCGCCGGCCCTGCGTCGATAGACAAGGCCCGCGCCTTCTGTTCCGAGAAGCCTTCCCCCCTTTCCCCTTACCCCCCTCTGCGCGTGGCCGATCTTGGGCTGAAGGCTCTGGGTCCACTCGCACGCTTGCACAGGATGTGCTGGCGAAGTTTTCCGGACCAGACGAACGCCTGCCTGCTTCCAACAGCCTGTTGGCTGGCCAAAATCAGAAAAACTGACTCACGTCTAGAGTCACCTGACTCACGTCTCGAGTCACCCCTGCACGCGAAAAAAAGCGCAGCGCAGCTGCGGCTGCACAAACGCAGTTCGTGCCGCCTCAACAGCATAGGCAACCATTGAGGTGGGCTGTGGCCGCTGCACTTAAGTCTTGAAACCGAACTGCTTGAAGTAGAAACCCTTCTCCGTCGCGGCTCTCACCGTGATCTCCGGGTCGAAGCCGGTCTTCTTGATCCAGTCGTCGTCCATCATCTTGCTCATGTAGTTCCTTGAGGAGTCCGCGAAGAGCACGGCGACGCGCTTGCCTGCGCCGATGTTCTGCTCCTTGATGAAGCGGACAGCGCCCGCCATCGTCGAGCCGCAGCTGCTGCCGATGAGGAGGCCCTCGTGCCGAATGATGGCCCTCATTGCTGCGAACGCCTCGTCGTCGTCCGTCTTCACCCAGTAGTCCGCGACGGTGCGATCCAGCACGGTGGGGATGAAGTCGTAGCCGATACCCTCCACCTGGTAAGCGGACAACTTCTTCTGCCCTGTCCTGGCGGAACCCTCGTTCATCTCGGCGGGCTCAGCCAAGATGCTGCCGTACGGGTCCACCGCCACGATCTTGACCCCTGGGATCTTCTCCTTCAGCTTCTTCGCGGTTCCCGAGACCGTGCCACCCGTGCCCGCGGACATGATCATGTAGTCGAGCTTGCCACCCGTCTGTTCGACGATCTCCTCGCCCGTGCCATCGTAATGGGCGAGCGGGTTACCAGGATTCAAATACTGGTCGAGGACGTGGCCGTTCAACTCCTTCGCCAATCGGGCCGACAAGAAGATGTGAGAGTCCTCGGCGTCCCAAGCCGCCTCGGTGGGCGTGCGCAAAATCTCGGCGCCGAGGCACTTCATTGTGTTGACCTTCTCTCCGGACATCTTCTTCGGGAGACAGATGATCATCTTGTATCCTTTCAGTGCCGCGGTCAACGAGAGGCCGATGCCCGTGTTACCGCTGGTGGCCTCGATCAGCGTGTCCCCCGGCTTGATGCGCCCGCTCTTCTCCGCCTCCTCCACCATGCGCTTCCCGATGCGGTCCTTGACGGAGCCACCCGCGTTGAAGAACTCGACCTTCGCGAGCAGCTCGCATTCGATGTCGAAGAACTTCGCGAGCCGCGACATGCGGACCATCGGTGTGAAACCGATCAGGTCGAGCGCGGAGTCGCAGATCTCGGAGTAGGCTCGCGGCTGCTTCTTCCCTGTGGTCAGCTTCTCGACCTGCGCCTGAAGATTGGCGTCCCAGCCGTCGTACGCTGGGGCGACGATCTTCCCCTCCTTGGCCTCGTTGTACGGCGTGGCCTGCATCTCGCGAGCGCGCGCCACGATCGGGTCAACGGCGACGGAGAACGCACGCCCCTGAACCGTGCACGCGGAGCGCGTGACGCGGCATGTGGCGCGTGCCACGGAGAGCATGGCTGGCCGAGTGGCGGCTGCGACTGGGACGGGGAAGCTTCGGAGGAACCTGGAGCCAATATGGCTACAATCCGATCATGGTGCTGCAGGTATGTTTGCCAGCATGGCCCCAGCCACCAGGTTATTGCATGCTCGATGTGGCGCAAGATGCGTGATGTTGGAGATGGGATGGACACTGCCAGCAATGTGGTGCGAGCTTCGTGGTGGGGTGTCCGTGTTGTCACGTGTGGCGCAAGCTATGCGAGTGGTAGCTGTGTGGCGTAAGCTATGCGATGCACCCCTCATGGTTGCAGACTATGCGGTGCAATTGTGCCTGGCATGCAGCGCAAGGCGCCCACAAGGCGCCCACGGGCGGGCACCAGACGGGTACGTGAGGCGCCCACGGGAAGGCACCGAGCGAAAGCCCTCGGGCGCCTTCCGATCACAGAACAAGGCAAGCCAGAGGAGGAGGAGGAGGAGGAGGAGGAGGAGGAGAAGGAGGAGGAGGAGGAGGGGGAGGAGGAGGAGGAGGATCGATCGAGCCGTGGGGACGAGGTTCGCTGCCGTGTGCCGGTGGGCAGCTTCATAAAATTACTGTCGGGTCGTCCTAAAGCCTTCCCCCCTTTCCCCTGCCCCCCTCTGCGCGTGGCCAATCTTAGGCTGAAAGCTCTGGGTCCACTCGCACGCTTGCACAGGCTCTGGATGTGCCGGCGAAATTTTCCGGACCAGACGAACGCCTGCCTGCTTCCAACAGCCTGTTGGCTGGCCAAAATCAGAAAAACTGACTCACGTCTAGAGTCACCTGACTCACGTCTCGAGTCACCCCTGCACGCGAAAAAAGAAGCAGCGCAGCTGCGGCTGCACAAACGCAGTTCGTGCCGCCTCAACAGCATAGGCAACCATTGAGGTGGGCTGTGGCCGCTGCACTTAAGTCTTGAAACCGAACTGCTTGAAGTAGAAACCCTTCTCCGTCGCGGCTCTCACCGTGATCTCCGGGTCGAAGCCTGTCTTCTTGATCCAGTCGTCGTCCATCATCTTGCTCATGTAGTTCCTTGAGGAGTCCGCGAAGAGCACGGCGACGCGCTTGCCCGCGCCGATGTTCTGCTCCTTGATGAAGCGGACCGCGCCCGCCATCGTCGAGCCGCAGCTGCTGCCGATGAGGAGGCCCTCGTGCCGAATGATGGCCCTCATTGCTGCGAACGCCTCGTCGTCGTCCGTCTTCACCCAGTAGTCCGCGACGGTGCGATCCAGCACGGTGGGGATGAAGTCGTAGCCGATACCCTCCACCTGGTAAGCGGACAACTTCTTCTGCCCTGTCCTGGCGGAACCCTCGTTCATCTCGGCGGGCTCAGCCAAGATGCTGCCGTACGGGTCCACCGCCACGATCTTGACCCCTGGGATCTTCTCCTTCAGCTTCTTCGCGGTTCCCGAGACCGTGCCACCCGTGCCCGCGGACATGATCATGTAGTCGAGCTTGCCACCCGTCTGTTCGACGATCTCCTCGCCCGTGCCATCGTAATGGGCGAGCGGGTTACCAGGATTCAAATACTGGTCGAGGACGTGGCCGTTCAACTCCTTCGCCAATCGGGCCGACAAGAAGATGTGAGAGTCCTCGGCGTCCCAAGCCGCCTCGGTGGGCGTGCGCAAAATCTCGGCGCCGAGGCACTTCATTGTGTTGACCTTCTCTCCGGACATCTTCTTCGGGAGACAGATGATCATCTTGTATCCTTTCAGTGCCGCGGTCAACGAGAGGCCGATGCCCGTGTTACCGCTGGTGGCCTCGATCAGCGTGTCCCCCGGCTTGATGCGCCCGCTCTTCTCCGCCTCCTCCACCATGCGCTTCCCGATGCGGTCCTTGACGGAGCCACCCGCGTTGAAGAACTCGACCTTCGCGAGCAGCTCGCACTCAATGTCGAAGAACTTCGCGAGCCGCGACATGCGGACCATCGGTGTGAAACCGATCAGGTCGAGCGCGGAGTCACAGATCTCGGAGTAGGCTCGCGGCTGCTTCTTCCCTGTTGTCAGCTTCTCGACCTGCGCCTGAAGATTGGCGTCCCAGCCGTCGTACGCTGGGGCGACGATCTTCCCCTCCTTGGCCTCGTTGTACGGCGTGGCCTGCATCTCGCGAGCGCGCGCCACGATCGGGTCAACGGCGACGGAGAACGCACGCCCCTGAACCGTGCACGCGGAGCGCGTGACGCGGCATGTGGCGCGTGCCACGGAGAGCATGGCTGGCTGAGTGGCGGCTGCGACTGGGACGGGGAAGCTTCGGAGGAACCTGGAGCCAATATGGCTACAATCCGATCACAGTGCTGCAGGTATGTTTGCCAGCGTGGCCCCAGCCACCAGGTTATTGCATTCTCGATGCGACTTCTATGTGGCGCAAGATAGTTACGTGATGTTAGATATGTGATGCGAACTACCAGCAATGTGGTGTGAGCTTCGTGGTGGGGTGTATGTGTTGTAATGTGTGGTGCAAGCTATGTGGAGTCAAGATGGCTTCACACTAGTTGGATGTAGAGCCGTCGGTTTGGGTGCCTCCCCTGGCATCCGACGCTTTGCGGTCTGTGGCGACGGGGCTCGCATAAAAAGCCTGGACCGCTTCCCAGAGACCAACTCTTGCTCCCGAGCCGTTTTTGTTGAGGGCCCCGGGGCCCGGTGAGGGCTTCTGGAGGCCGAAGCTCTGCCTCCAGAAGCCCTCACCGGCAACCCACGAATTCCGACGCATGTTCTTCAAGACGCGAGGATGTCAGGGTAATGCTTTCTTTCTTCTTCGAGATGCCTCCCGCTCCCGCGGACCCCTTCCAAGGTGTTCGTCCGACCAGGAGCCCGAGGCACCATGTATTCGGCGACGACGAGGGCCCCGCCCCCGGAAAGCACCCCCAGGAGGGTGACAGCGCGAGCATACAAGGGCATCGGCACCGGTACAGTGGAGGCCAGTCCACAAGGAACCTTCCTCAACAAACCCAACCCTGAGACCCCAGGACGTCCATTGATTTTTGATGCGGGAACGTCACGATTTCCATCGCAAAACCATCGAAACTCAAGAACCCCAGGGCACCCTGGAGGCAAACAGGGTGACTCTTGGCATGGGTGTCCACTGTAAGGGCGCCTGCATCTGTACGACATGTGCGTGCCGTGGCGACCTCGCCGTTGGTCTCTGACGCCGCGCGGATCGCTCAGGCTTGGCGTGGCAGCAGCTCTCGGATCGCGCGAGGTCGTCCGCCGTCGGCCGATCCTGGCCTCAGGCCGGGCATGTCCTCCTACATGGGGGACTTGTGATATACTAAAAATCATCGAAACATGCCCAGACACAACAGAAACATCATCCCAGACTATCTTCAGACTATTTTTGAATCTTCCTCTGTGACAGTTTTTGACTATTTTTGACGATCTTGACTATTTTGACTATTTTTGATATCCCAGATCATTTTTGACTATTTTCTGACTATTTTTGAATCTTCCTCTGTCGAGGGACGCGCCCGACTTGATCCCGGGGCCAGCGGCGGCGGAGGTCGACCCCGAAATCCCCCCGCGCGGGGGCCGCCGCCGCGCTGCTGGCGCGCCGGCGCGAGCTCGCCGTGGGCTCTTTTCGCTCCTCGGAGCTGCTGGCTGGTCGAGGGGGGACGATGTCCCGAGACTGAAGGGGGCCCAGGGACACACACACACATGAGCAGACACTAGTCTCAGGGTTCCCCGTATATTTTCACATATTTTCTGGATTTTCGTCGTCCCCCCACTTCCCATAGTTCGAGGGGGGACGAGACTGAAGGGGGCCCAGGGACACACACGAATGAGTCTAGACACGAATCCCAGGATCTCCCCCTATTTTCACGTATTTTCTGGGCTTTCCGCTCCTCTGGTCTGCTGGTTGGTCGAGGGGGGACGAGACTGAAGGGGGCCCAGGGACACACGAATGAGTAGGCACGAATCCCAGGACCCTCCCATATTTTCACGTGTTTTCTTGGCTTTTCTCTCCTCTGATCAGCTGGTTGGTCGAGGGGGGGCGATACTCAATGGGGCCCAGGGACATACACAAATGAGTAGACACGAGTCCCAGGACTCCCTCCGATATTTTCACATATTTTCTGGATTGTCGTCTTCCCCCCCCAGTTCCCATATTTTCCGGGGCACACAAGTGAGTAGACACGAATCCCAGGATCCCCCCTATACTTTCAAACATTTCCTGAATCTTCGTCTTCCCCCCATATGTTCCCAGATGTTCCTGGGCGTCGACGATTCATGGTGTCTGTGTTTCTTCTTCCCTCCTGAGATGCAGTCGAATCGTATAGCAAGGAAGTGCGGTAAGGATGCAAAGGGCCTTGCAGGGCCATGGCAATATTTCTCGAACGAGGTTGGCCAGCGAAAGTCGCTGAGGCTGGGCCGAAGGGACAGGATGCAAGGATCCACCTTGTCGGCTACACGCAAGAGTGACCCTGGGCAAGAGTGACCTCTAGTGCGCGGCTTTTTGGGGGCCGCGGGGGGGATCAAGCACAAACGCGGCAAGACGCCGCTATCGCGCCGCGTTCGGCGATCGGAGGACCCCAATAGGCTGAGGTCGGGCCTGTCCCCCTACAGGGGGATTTTGGACGACAACTCGAAAACATTCGAAACAAAAATAAGAACGAGCCAAACAATAAAACAACAAATCGTCCCTAGACTATTTTTGGAGTATTTGGGAATCTTCCTCTTGTAGAGGGACAGGCCCGACTTAAACATACACACCACATGCCGGAACCGCACGTGCCTGGGCATGGTGGGGCACCTCGAGGAAAGAGAACTATGCACATACACCGATTCTGGCCAGGCCCATCCTGAGCCCAGGATCGGTGCATACGCCCTCTACCCTGGCCAGGAAGGTATATGCACCGATCCCGGGTCAAGGCTGGGCCTTGCCAGGACCGGTGCACGTGCATAGCTCTCTTCGCCCGAGCACCCGAGCCCCGGCCGACGCGGAAGGGGCGGGGGTCGACGCCTCTCCCCCGTCGGCCACTGCCCGGGGGCGCGCAGGCACGCATTGGCAGTAGACGTTGGAACTCTTTCACGTCAGGGGCGCTAACAGCGCTCTCGGAAAGAAGATTGTACATACGAGCGCCACCCAACGTGAAACGAATAACATAATCTGAAGCCCAAGCAGGGAAGGAATCGACTACATGACGGGAATGCCTGGGATGGATCTGGCACGCGGTCGCCCATCCCGCGGGTCGGGGGAGGCGCCCTCCCCAGAATGCGGCCAGCGCCGCCTCGTTCGGCGGCGGACCGCCAAACTTTCCCTGAAAACGGGACCCGTCGCGAAGCCGCGCCCCCTTTTGATCTATATGTCTGCGATCGCCTGCACTGCCCCCTCCCAGACCTCCGACGCCGTGACCATTCCACAGCCCGGGCACCAAGTCTCCCTCCCGAGAGGTGTGCTTGGACGGTCCTGGGGCCCGGACGGTCCCGGGGCCTTGTCCTGGGGAGTCCAGTGCCGTTACCGCTGCTCCCAGGCGAATCCGTCGGTGGCGACGAGGGCCTCCCAGGAGGCCGAAACAGGGGAAAACGGGCGAAAGGCAGCAGCATTGGGTATACTGGGATGGCCGTGGGGGGTTCGAAGTGGATAGGGTGGTTGCAATTTGATGCCAAGGTGGGTTAAATCTGGCCCACCCTGGTCTAGAAGTGGGCTACCAATGCCCCAAGTAGCTTATCGGGGTTAACGATCCAGGCTAAGTGGGCTCCGCCCACTTAGCGGAGTTGTCGAAACTTCCCTAAGCCAGTTAGGAATTTATAACCCACTTATAAGCCAGGGTGGGCCAGATATCACCCACCTTGGGGCATCCACTGGTAACCCCCCTATCCATTCAGAACCCCCCACGGCCATCCCAGTGGGGCCCTCGCCGGCCGCCGGGAACGTCAAACAACGACTCAGGATGAAAAACCCCGGCCCCGGCGCCGGGGAAAGGGTCGAGACTCCCAGGGGCGCCGTGCCGACAAACATCAGGACGTCGCATGTCTGGGTATACCTCCTCCTCCTCCTCCTCCTCCTCCTCCTCCTCCTCCTCCTCCGCCCACTCCTCCCCCTCCTCCTCCTCCTCCTCCTCCTCCTCCTCCTCCTCCTCCTTCTCCTCCTCCTCCTCCTCCTCCTCCTCCCCCTCCCCTCCTGCGAGGCGACGGCCCCCGGAGGCCGACGGTGGGTCCAGACTCTCCCGCCGTGCTCTGCTCGCGGCGCGCGGGCGACCCCGGGCTCCGCTCTCGCCGGGCCCGGGCCCTGGGCTCGCCGCGCGGTGCAAGGTCGGGCGTGCCCTCCGGCAGGCGGAGATTGGACCGATCAACAGATCTGCAGACAGGTAGTCGAGTCGAAGGTGGTCGAAAAATCGTTCCCAGATTTTTTTTTGTGGAGTAGCTATTCTTTGAATGTTCCTCCTGTAGAGGTAGTCGAAGGTGGTCGAACAATCGTTCCCAGATGTTTTTTTGGTGGAGTAGCTATTCTCTTTGAGCGTTCCTCCTGTAGAGGTAGTCGAAGGTGGTCGAACAATCGTTCCCAGTTTTTTTTTTGGTGGAGTAGCTATTCTCTTTGAGCGTTCCTCCTGCATCAGGAGGGAACAAAAACACACAGACACAATTCATCGGCGATTCCCAGAAAATATGCGAAAATATGGGAAGTGGGGGGGAAGACAAAAACCCAGAACATATGGGAAAATATGGGAAATCTTTTTATCTGTGTGTATTTATTTGTGTGTTTCTGGGCCCCTTCACTGTAGAGGGGCGTGCCCCACTCGAGCTATTCTTTGAATGTTCCTCCTGTAGAGGTAGTCGAAGGTGGTCGAACAATCGTTCCCAGATTTTTTTTTTGGTGGAGTAGCTATTCTCTTTGAGCGTTCCTCCTGTATCAGGAGGGGAGAAAACACACAGACACAATTAATCGGCGATTCCCAGAAAACATGCGAAAATATGGGAAATGGGGGGGGGGAAGAGAAACATCCAGAAAATGTGGGAACATATGGGGAATATTCTTATCTGTGTGTATCTATTTGTGTGTTTGTGGGCCCCTTCACTGTAGCTATTCTCTTTGAGCGTTCCTCCTGTAGAGGTAGTCGAAGGTGGTCGAACAATCGTTCCCAGATTTTTTTTTGGTGGAGTAGCTATTCTCTTTGAGCGTTCCTCCTGTAGAGGGGCGTGCCCGACTCGGGCGCAGTGCGAGGGGGGCACCTCGCGCAGGTCGGCGGCGGGCCCGAGGCCCGGGCACGGCGAGCGAGCGCCGCCGCCGCCGGCGGCGCTGGCCCAGCACAGGCATTTTTTTGTTTTTCTTCTTCCTCCTCTCCAACAGAGGACCGTCTGCGAAAAACTGTAG